CCCCCCCCCCCCCCCCCCCCACCAGCCTGCTCCAGCTCCGGTCTTTACCTCCAGCCTCTGTAGATCAATAGCTCTGTACTTTGCCTAGGCCTCTCTATCCCCCCCCTCTCTCCAGCTGTACAGACCTATAGAGAAGAGGCAGCCATACATCACCGAGACTGCACAGAGAGAGAGAGAGAGAGAGAGAGAGAGAGAGAGAGAGTGTTCGACTCTCTCCCTCCACACTCCTCCTCCTCCTCCTATACCGACCCTCTCCATCCGTCCTCCCCGGCAGACGGAGCAGACCTCCGGGAAGGCAGCGTGGATTTTTTCTCCCCCCCTCCTCCTCGCATCTGTGTGAATGGGAATCAGCCGCACCGGCAGGAGTGATGGAGACTCAGCCTTCGTAGTTACTGGAACTTATTTCTCACCCCGAAAAGACGGGAACTAACCGCGTGAGCGTATCTTTTGGGGATTTGTCTTTTCTTTTTTCTTTTTCAGTTTGGGATCCAAGCCCGATCGGGAAGGGTTATTTTGGGGGAGAGGAGAGGTTGTTTCACACCCCCCCCCCCTCTCTCTCTCCTCCTCATCATCACCATCCTCCTGACTCACCATTCTGGGGTTTTCTTCTTATTTTGATTTTTAATTGACAGTTGAATTCTGTGGAGGATTAAAAAAAAACAAAAAGAATCAAAGAAGAGCAGGATTTTGCCGGTGTTTGCTGCTGTGGTTCCTCGGGCTTATCGGGACAGGGGCAGGGCAGCATGGAGCCGGGTTTGGTTGGATGTATTGCTGATGTTTGGGAGGTGACGGCGCGGAGGAGGGGGAGGACGGGAGGCTTCTACCTGCTGCTGCTCTGCTGGCTGCTGGCTTCTCACACCACGGCGCACGGTGAGTGGAGACAAAATATATATATGCGCGATTACTGCCTCCGTCCCCGCAGTGTGTGTGTGCGTGTGTGTGGCGCGCGCGCGCGTGTGTGCGTAATTGCTGGTTGCCGCAGACCAAACGAGAATTGTCACAATTTGTTGCGTCCCTCCCTGTCGGGATTCGGGTCCGGCCAGGTCGGACTGGGTTTCACTGGGCTCCGCTGGGTGTGTGATCCGGCTACAGGCTGCAGGGCTTCACCGGCTTCTGCTGGGTTTCACTGGGTTTAAATGGATTTCACTGGGCTTCAGCAGGTTCCAGCGGCTCTGGTCATGCGTTAGGCTGCTGAGGCAGGTTTTGGTGAATCTCACTGGATTTTGCTGCTGTTTTACCGTCACATAGAGGAACTCGTTCACTGGGGCCCGGTCAGGTTCAGGCTGCTGGTCTGGCTGGGTTTGACCAAGTTTTGCTGGGGTTGATTTTGGTTTGTGTGTGTTTCATGGGGCTGTACTGTTTCACCTGATTTCTTCCATCATGTTGGTTTTACCTGGATTTGGCCCCCGCCATCTGATTTGAGCAGGTTTCACTGAATTTTACTGTTTTCTTTTGCTGCTGTTTCACTGTCAGTCTGGCCCAGAATAAAGAGGATTATCGGTGCTGTTCAGGTCTCATTGTTGCTCACCTCTCATGAGGCTGTGCCAGGGTTTGCCTTAGTTCTGTGAGCCTTATCGTGTGTTGGACTGTCACTCTAAACAGGTTTTAGGGGATCTTTCAGGGTTTTTGCTGCCTCATTTTGTACCAGAATGAAATGGTTAACAGGTACAGATCAGGTTTAGGCTGCTGGGTTTGACTTGTTTTTATACATTTTACCAGAATTGACTGATTTGAATGGACTTCACCGGGCTTTCAGTAGGTCTAATGATTTGCTCTACTGCTGCTTTGAGCATGTAATAGTGGATCTTTGAGGCATTAATTGGCTCCCAGAACAATGAGGTTTGGTTTCAACCAGGGTCTTTTAAGCTTTTAATGTATTCAATTACGGGTTTTACAATTTGACAGCAGTCCTTGAGTGAATCTTACGGGTTTTGCTGCTGTTTTACCTTCAGCTTCTCGTAAAACGACTGGGGCTGATCAGGTTTAGGCTGCTGATTTTGGACAGATAGAGCACTTTATTAATTCCAAAGGGAGGTTACTCTGCAGTGAAATCACATAAAACCCCAATACAAAAAGCTCTAAAATCAAAATACTCCAACAAACCCAATCCGATAACGTAACAGAATAAAAGAGACCATAATCTTTCCACTCATACATATTGGGTTCATCTCCCAACCCCTTTCTGAGTGAGTCTCCTGCTGTCAATAAATTATGTCCGAACACTTTAATTAAGCTAATTGGTGATGGGAGAGCACACACACACACACACACACACACACACACACACACACACACACACAGTAGTGGCTCGGCTGTAAAATCCTCTGCTGAATATTGTACTCAGACCCAGCGTTTATCTGTGTGAGCTACGGTACACACACGCACACGCACACACGCACACACACATACACACACACACACACACACACACACACAGTGATTCAGAAGTCGTACTAAACAGCAGGCGGAATGCATTTTTTGCAGAAGCAGGTCCCGCTTGCTTTTCACGGGTGTGTTCAGGTGCTCTGTCAGTTTGAAGAGGGGAGCCAACCGTCTGCAGGTTGATCTCACAGATGAGTTCCTCTGCTTTACCTGAGGGAGAGTTAATCGGTGGGGGAGGAGGGTAGAGTCTTTGGTTGAAATGGAAACCTGCAGGCTGGTGGATCACCGTGGCATGTGATCACCTGGACGCCCACCTAAAGGCCTGGTCACACCAGCATTTCGATGGCGAATCAATTTATCCCAATTGCTTTGAGTTTAACTTTGATCCAAATTACAGTCAGCACAATCAGGTGTGGAAGGGTCTCAGGTGTGTGTTTCAATTAGAGCAATTAGAGGCTCGGCGTAATGTTGGCTGATGATAATGATAAATTGCAGCACAGTAAGTGATGCATGTGACTACTTCATTCACAGATGTCACACAACCTGTTTTTTAAGCATCAAATAACTAATGAAAACCAACTAAAAAATATGAACACTTAAACAAACACCAGCGTGATAAAGAAACGTGATTAAAAATGTCAGAAACCATTTAAAACCTGGAAATGAGTTACCATTTTTACCCTTGTGGTTCCCTCAATGGCTTCTTTGAATGTGGTTTGATGCATGGAACACAGTCTGTAGGTTTGTATAGAAGACGTCAGTACATAACCCTCTAATCAATTTTGAAGAATCTACATGTCCTAAATGCATGTTGGGTCCAGAGTTCTCTTTGTAAAATGACACATCAACCTCACACACATTGCAACCCATCAGCATTCCTCCTTCTCTGCTGCTGCTGTTACTTCACATGCACTTCTATATGGAACTCAGATAATAACTGCCAGTATTTCCTTGACTGGAAATTGCTGGGTGAACCTTGAGATTTTGCAGGTTAAATACATGAGTTTAGATAGAGTGAGATGGTTAAATACATGAGGCGAACATGGCACAACTGGAAGTGAACAATTCACATTCCTTTCATTATTGATATGAATGAATTTAACCCCTTATGAAGAAAGGATGTGGAGAAGAAATGATCCTTTGTGAGCTGAGAGATGCTCAGAAAGTCAGAAACACAGCTTATTGTGAAAACGTTGTTTAGAACTCTGTAGTTCCTTTTCCTCTCCGGATGTTTCAGCCTCCCCACAAATGAAGAAGGATGGAGTGTTTGAGGAAGGTGAATACATCATCTTTGTTCTCGTTTTGGCTTATTATTATTATTATTAGATTAGGTTATTCGATTATTCCCAGTGAGCATTAACCTCCATGATTCATCATTAAACTCGACACGAGGCCGGTGAACCTGATGGAGCTGAGAGTTCTCCTGCAGCATCGTCTTCGCATTTAAAAACGGTCTCACACTCTCGGAAACCAGCAATCTTTCTGCACGCTGCTTTGACCTCGTGGTGTCACATGTAGCCCAAAGCATGATGGGTAAAATGCTGAACCAGGGCTGGTGAAGTCTGAATCAAATATACGACTCCTGAGTTTTGGGGATGAGTAATATACTCTACGAATTTCATGTTGATCTGAGCAATAGTAGTTGAGATGCCTCACTCTGGACCAAACAGTTGGATCAATTGGTTGTGGGAGGAAATGACAAGGCTAATAGTCCACAGCATAGACGCTATATAAAGATGGACAACTTCTCCACAAAATATGGTCATGTCTATATCATGACCCACAAGTCAAGTGCGAAACGTTGTGAAAATGTGTGTAAAATGTGCGAAAACCTAAAAGACACAACGTCCCCCCCCCCCCCCCCCCCTTTATTTAGCATGAAATAACTAATGAAAACAAAATAAAATATGAACACAGCTGTGGCTGATGGGAATGCTATTAATTTTTCAGATATTTGGTCATTAACCAAAGTATTTGACAAATACTGAACATTAATTATGTGTACCAATGCAAAGCCACCCAATAGTTAGTAAGAATTTTCACAGAAAATCACTAAATACCAACGTCATGTGGCGCGAGAGGAACTCAGGTGATAATCAAAGTTGTTGTCTGTACAGAAGTTTGGGCCAACCTATCCAGTAGATGTTAGGATCATTTACATGATAAGGGAAAACTTTGACCAACCGATGGCACTACAGGAACATTGTGAGGTCCGTAGCATCCATTCTCTGAGGACCATCAATGTTTATACAAAATGTCAAGTCGATCCATCAAATATTTGTTGAGACATTCCACTTTGAACCAAAGCGGTGAAATGACATTTCAAATGATAGATCCATCCTGAACGCACGGCTAAAATCCAGCTTTTAAAGCCATAAAAACAAAGTGTTATCCTCAAGTTGCTGCTGATGTAGTTACCACATACATTATTGTTATCATTAATTCAATTGTTGTTTCATGGGGCCTCAGGTCTACAGAGGTCTCACACTACCTTTAGAGAACCGGCTGCTCTAATAAATTCTGTGTTCATGAGGTTTTTATTTTTCCTGCTCTGCAAAGTGATGTTCACAATCCTCTTGCTGTTTATCTGTTGCTTTTGTCCCTGAGTGCTCCCATCCTTCCCGTTCATCCTCTGTCTCTTCAGGTATGTGTGTGAGTGTGTGTGTACTTAGGGGTGTGGTCATTTGAACAATGCTGTAGGAATAAGCACTGGGTTGGTATTAAGACTGAGCATATTTATCTTTAAAGCTCTGCTGTTATCCAGAGGAGGATTTGTTTTCACTGTGTACCATTTAGAATAACTGTCTATGTGCGTACATTCTGTTTACTGCCTTTGGTCAGAATATATGTCAATGCATTCTATTGATCTTCATCAATACATTGTATACTAAAGCCAATGTAATCTGTAAAGTATATATCTTATATATTATATATTATACACCCCTCACACCCTGGACACAAGCTGTTCCAACTCCTCCCCTCTGGTAGGCGCTACAGAGCTCTGTACGCCAAAACCACCAGACACAGGAACAGCTTCTTTCCACTGGCCGTCACTCTGAACACTTAATCAGTCAAACTGCACCTCCATTTGCACTATTTGCACTATTACCACCATTCTGCACTAATATCCCGAATCCATTGTCCATTATTATTGTTGTTCATATATATTCTTCGATATAAATTTATACTGTACATAGTAGTTAAATATTTATGCTTAGTTTCTCTGTTCAACTTTGTTGTCTTTAATGGTTTTTTTTCTTGTTTATTTGTATATTCTATGTATGTACGTTGAGAGCAATACATGAAAGCATACATGGCCAATAAAGCTGATTCTGATATATATCTTGTTGCAGCCCCAAGATCTCTCCACCTCATTTGCTAGCCCATCTCTTACTGGTCTGTCTTGGATTCCCTTGTCTCATGTCTCACGTCATCAACCCTAACCTTGTTTTGTCTTGTTGAATTATTATCTCATCTTGTCTCCTCAC